AGAGAGGCTTTTTAGCTTAATATATCTGACTGCAAACAATGAAAGGGAACACAGATGCAAATTGATTCCTGGTTAGAAATGTGTCTCAAAAGTAGGTGTGAGTCTGGGTTATTTTCTAATTCCTAAAGGGATTAACTACCTCCATATGTCTGAGTGTCAAAATGTATTGTATGTGCACGCAGCCATCAAATTTTAAACCCGTGTATCTAGCCATAATGATTTAGTATTAAAATGCAATGAAGGGGGAAAAAATGGTAGAGACCTAAGAGGTATCTGTGTTCACTGTACTGTGTGGTGTATGATTCATCCCTCAATACAAAAGGAACCTTGAAACAATTAGTCAAAGTAGATAAAAACTATGAAATGATCGATGGACCATCGGGATCTGCTTCAGAACTAAATTTGTAAAGTATGTGTGCCTTAGTATAGAGAGCTGATTGCACTTACACGTGTAATATTTGTTAAGAATAACAATTGTTCTCTTGGAAGAAAAGTCATTTGGAAAACAAAATAACATGCAGTGAATGGGAAATTGAAGCTGAGTCTGAACTAGTGACTTTATGTCACTTGGTGTGGTGGTGTGTGTGTTTATCCACACCGGTGAGAGAAGCCCTCCTTGCAGCATAAATCTTCAGTGAAGATATTGCTAATGAGCTTCAGACCCTTTTGTCTTTAGATTGTCAGCCTAAGGCCATGCTTACATTACCACTTGTGTCTGCAAAATGTATGTAGCACAGAGGCATAAGCATAAACTACATAAGTTTTGCCAGCAAAAGGGGTAATGTGCACAGTGCTTCTCCCACTGACATAGCTACAGCTGTTGACAGGACAGTTAGTTCTTGTTGTCATAAGGCAGCTGCATGAGAGATCTTGTAGCTGTGCAGCTGTATCCTTACAGTCTTGCTGCAGTAAGGTTTCTAGTGTAGACATAGCCACAATCTAACCCATCTGGTCGGGATTAAAAGTTGTTTCCATATAATGGAACTTAGGTCATTTATATGAGATGCGTTTTGGTCTCTTTTCCAGCTCCCATGGTATAAACTCCCCACAATACTTTATGTGAGCCGGCAGTCTTATTAGAAAGGCCAAGAACAGCATGGGTCATGGTAAATGAAGTGCTCTGTTTACTCCACAGTGCCACTGAGGTAGGTAGGTGTGTGTGTGTGTGTGTGTGTGTGTGTGAGTGAGAGAGAGAGAGAGAGAGAAGCTTTGTCACACTGCTGGTGATGAATCAAGGATGCTATTTCTCAGGACAGAGCCAATATTTTTTGCCAGCACTAATTTGCACTTTTTAAAAAGCTGAATTTTTGCTATGCAAAATATTAAGTCATTAATTTCCCATAATAGCACTCTGGTGAAAACTTAGTAGATTTATAGATGGTGTTTCTATCACCTAATATTATTTTAACCTGTTATGATTTTCTATACACAATGGCCATGCATCTAGGTTCAGTTAAAATAAAAATTCAAATAGGGCATGCAGTAAAACATCACAAAGGTCTTTGAGATGGTTTGTCTCAGGTTTGTCTCTTCATGTTATATCAACTGTGTGTCAGAAAATAACAGTGCCTCCAAACACCTTAGAAACTTAAAGGTGCAGTGTAGGGGAATAATGGTGTAGCTGCAACTACCACTCTTGGTTATTCAGAATACAAAAACAACCAAACAAAAAAGCTGACCGCATCAGCTATTGGATTTCAATGAGACACAAGATAGATATAGTAATCTCTTTTACTGGCTCTCACACACCTGGTGTTTCTAATATCCTGGGTCCAACACAACAACAATTCAAATGACTTTGGTGACGTCATGTACATTATATAACTTGTTTACAACTCCACCAATGCATGTATTCATCACAAAAGCAGAATTAACAGTCTCTCTCTCTCTCTCTCTCTCTCTAGCTTGCTAAATTTTTCAAAGGGCATCTGAAACATTCTCCTTCACATATGAGAAGTGCCACCCTCTCATTTGCACATAAATTGAATCTTGGGTACACAGTTACCTGACTTGACTGCACACATGCATGTGTAAATTTTATATCTATATATTTCAGAAGCCCTTTGGTACCAAAATTAAATGAAATAAAAGTGAATGAGATCCCTATGAATCTCTTTGGAAATTGTGTTTCAAAAGTTATGTGCTTTTCTGGGCTGCTTAGCTATAAAAAAAACAAAAACTATTCGTGAACAAGCTTGTAAGTGGTAGAATTTCCTTTTAAATTGATTAGACTCATTCATTCAGTGGGAGAGCTGGGTATACAAAAATGGCAATACTTGATATCTGCAGTTTTCACTGATAGCACAAAAATACTCTAAATAAAGAAGGGGGTTACTCCAGTAGCAACAGGATATTACTTTGTCTAATCCCTTAACATATTTAAAGCTTAACTGTCAGTGTCTGACTCTGTGTTGGCAAAGAAAGCTTTTGATATTATAGTAAATCTGAATGGATGGGAAATAGATTGACCCTGGAAATCTCTGCTTAATCTTTTCTCCGCTTCTATCAACAAATGACACTCATCATTATGCAACAAGTCTCAAAATCTATCAACTAGGATTTCAGTGAGACATGCATGTATTCCATTTGGGTATAAAGAATTATTCAGCACATGATGCTTACGTATCATTGTATTCTGTAATTTCTGTTTCCTACATTGTATTTACATCTAGCACATGCATTCTAGACCATTTGTGTCTGTCTTTGCTGGAAATTTCCTTTTGGACTTACCCCCTGAATATTATTTCAGTCTTTGCACAATCCAGGGCAAACTTCTCAGATTTACTTTTTTTTCTATATAAAATAGCCCCATTTTTATTCGTATATTTCTTATAGCACTCCCCTTCTATGTTGTTACATGTTTGTCTCCTCAGACGTTAGAACAATACCTTTTTAAAATCAGACCCTCAGATGCATAAGAAGAAATTTGACATTTACAAGATGAAATTGGGGAAACATAAGACAATAGTTAATCCATTAAAGGAATACAGCTTGTGATCTGATGGCCTATGCTTTCACAGACAAAGAGTAGTTGTAAAATATTTTCCTTGCTATTTACAAAGATAAAACCCCTTAATTGTGAAATAATTCCTGAATTCCTATTTTCCAGTCCCATGGGATATTATTTAGGATCATGATATCAAGCACCACTTCTTCCTCTTCAATATTTTACTTATTTCCCTGAAAACAGGTACTAGTTATAAAATAATGATACTTTGCCAATTAATGGACTTGAGACAGACTCATGCCTCATATAGTCAGATAAATGTATTGAACTCTAGACAAAGTAATCCTGAGATGGGGCAAGATCCTGCAACCCTGAACTCATTGGTAAAACTCTATTCATTTGCGTGATGCAGGGTTAGGTGACGTCATGCAGAACCCGTTGTTAATCAAGGACTACGTCTAGACTGGCATGATTTTCCGCAAATGCTTTTAATGGAAAAGTTTTCCTTTAAAAGCATTTGCGGAAAAGAGCGTCTGGATTGGCACAGATGCTTTTCCGCAAAAGCACTTTTTGCGGAAAAGCGTCTGTGCCAATCTAGACGTGGTTTTGCGCAAGAAAGCCCCGATCGCCATTTTCGCGATCGTGGCTTTTTTGTGCAAAACAATACCGCGTTGTCTACACTGGCCCTCTTGCACAAAAGCATTTGCGCAAGAGGGCTTTTGCCCGAATGAGAGCAGCATAGCATTTCCGCAAGAAGCATTGATTTCAGACAGTAGGAAGTCAGTGTTCTTGCGGAAATTGAAGAGGCCAGTCTAGACGCAGCCAAGATGTATAGCTCTTAGATTCAGAGAAGCTTAAACAGGATCCCCTCAGACATGGAGTCACTGTGGAAGAGAAACTTCACATCAGTCTGTCCATTTATCTGGGTATTTATATCATGTTCATCACTTGAGCACTTACAAAAGGAGCCTATTCCTAGTCTTCCCCTCCATGGAGCAATTTTCCTAAGTAGAGGTCATTGTAGTTCCTGCAGCTTTAGGACAGTGGTAACCCTTGCACAGCTGCCAGAATGGATTCCTATTTTATAAAGAGAGAGGAAAGGAAGCGACCAAATGTGGTTGGAGGGTGAGCATCTTTCTAACACTAATTAAACTAGGGGAAGGGGTATTGAACCCTGATGACACCCCTTGGTTACTCAAATGACAACTCCGTTCTTGAGCAGCTTTTATCATTTCACTGATGCCTAGAAGCCCCCAACCCAGAACAGGTGATGAAGCAAATTCTTTGGCAGTGTAGTCTAGAAGACTGAGCCCTGGACTAGAATGCCCGAGAGCTGGGTTCAAATCAAGGCTCTGCTGGGATCTTGGGCAACTCATTGCACCACTCAGTACCTCAGTTTCCCTATATGTAAAATAGGGATAATGCTGCTGGCCTCTTTTGTAAACCACTTTGAACACTGTTGATGGAAAGTGTTGTTTAAGAGCTAGGTATCAGTAGAGGTAGTAGTTTATTATATTGGACTGCGTAAAGTTAGGTTAAAAAGGTACTGTACTCTTTTAACATATGGAAGAGTCTGTTCAAATGATGATAGGTCAGATTTCTACATACTAATGGCTAGTCTTCTGTCAAAGTGTAAATTCTTTAGTATGGATGATGCTGGGCAAGAATAATGTTCAACATCTAGATTACTTTATCAATGCTCTGATGGGGCATGGTAATCTATTGTCCTCGACTTGCTTCCTAAACATTCTCTTCTAACATCTCTATGCCCCGGTGATATGCAAGGGCAAAGATTTGAAATGGAATTGCACCTACAGTTATTTCTGGGTGCAAATTTTTTAATTGTGTTTCCAAATCAGGCCCATAATCAGCCAAAAATTCAGTGTAGTTTTGGAACAATATGTGCTGCATATGTCATGAATAAAAGTGTAATGCATGCTCATTTAGCTATGCTTTAAATTGCTCTTACTTGCCTTTTCTATCTCACTGTTGCAAGCCTCTCCAGGAAGAACTCTCACTGTGATGTCACAATTAGGATAGCAACAACTGCTGGTTGCTAAGAATGTGTGAGAGATGAAGAGACGCAGCCAGAGGAGGTGAGACTAAACAGCTTGGGCTCATCTAGACTATGGGGAATGGTCGAAAGAAAATATGCAAATTCCCCAGGAATTTGCATATCTTCTTCCAATCGCACTTTTGAAAGCAGAGCACTTCATCCTCTTTAAGTGCCACCATTGTTTTCCAAGGATATGTCTACACTGCATCTGGGAACATGCCTCTCAACCCTGGTAGACAGACATGCAATAGAGCTGATCAAGCTAGTCCACAAAAATAGTAGAGTGGATGCTGCAACCCTAGCTAGTCACCCAAGCTTGGATCCAGGGGTTTGGTAGCCTTGTACTCAAATGTCTAGTCTGTGATGCAGCCCCTGCTACGTTGTCCACCATGCTAGCGCATGTTTGTCTACCTTGGCTCCCAGCTTCAATGTAGACATACCCCCAAGATACACTATAAAAGTAGATACACTATACACTGAGAAGATTTACTACCAAAAAGGAAGGAGAGTTATACATGACAAAGTCCTGCCTCAAGAACCTTATAAGGTGTTGCACAGGACAGAGGAGACTCCAATAAGTTAAAAGTTCTGGGCAAGGTTTTGTCAAACAGTTGATTTTGAAGTACACAAACATCAACACCCTGCATGAAACACATCATATTTCACTGAATATAAAATCTTAGCATCACTTCACATTTATGCCATATGTACTGAACATTATAGTAGCTGATGCCGGAAACTGATGTCACCTCACACAAGCCAGTGTCCTGGAAAATAACACAGTGTGACCTGGCTCTGTGGTCACCAAATATGTTTCAAGGGATACAGGAAACAAAAATGAGCAATAAATTTTTGTGTCATTTATTTTCTTTCATAAATATTCTTTTCATCACATTTTGTTTTATCTTTTTTAGCAATGTATCTAAAATCAGTCAACACGGTGACGTCCTGGCGTGAGGGAGCCTACATGTATGCACTGAGCATAGGAATTGCATTACTTTGGTGTTGTACCTTCCTTCTTCCCACATGTATGTGAGTGTGCTATATTAACTATTAGTGGTGTGCCCCTTTACTGCACCTACACTTGCAGTATAGTTGTGATGATGCTAGCATTAGTATAGGTGCACTCCTTCTCTGTCCCTGCTACTGATGGCTCTGGTTTATCAGTAGTTCTGTGGCACTGGGGATTAGCATAGCAGCATTTTTGACAATACAACAGTGAGCAAGCATTCCCTTTCAAAGGTTTAGAGGTTATTTATTCTTTTTTTCTTGAAAGATTTATGGGTTTTAGAGAGAGTATATTTCATATATTAGTGTTTAGGGTCAGAAGAGATCATCATGGTCTGACTTCCTCCATAATACAGGCTATAAAACCTCATTCAAGATTTTTTCCATTAAGTCCATATCTTTTGTTTGAGCTATTACACATCTTTAGAAAAATGTCCAGTTGTTCACTCTCCTGCATCTAACATAGGCTCTTAATAGAATCTTTTGAATGTACTTGATAGAATCTTTTCTACTCTTACTGAGCACCAAGCAACTCAGGGAGAATTCCTGTTTTTCCTTTCTTTCAAGGATCAGTAACTCAGTTACTACTGTTATTCTTTTGTATTAGTGTTCCATCAATCCGTAATTTAGTAAAGATTAATAATAAAAATGTAACAGATGATTTAATCAGTTTTTGTATATAGAAATAGAGTCCAATAGTTTTTTTTATAACAATGGGTTGTAACCATCTATAAAAACATCTGTTGATGCATTTATAAACATACAGAACATATGCTACTCACCTCTAATCTGTTTATAACGTTCATTGGCCATCTAGTAACCCTTTACAAACCATTAATGAATAGAACCTTAATATAAAAACAGGGGATCCAGTGGCACCTTAAAGACTAACATTTATTAGGGCATAAGCTTCTGTAAGCTACAACTTACTTCTTCAGATTCTGAAGGAAAAAAGATACAGAGATGGGTGTGTGTGACAATGCCAATTAAATCAGAATGGATGTGGCTCATCTCCAACAGTGGTGAGAAGGGGAGAGTACTTGAATGGGAAATTACCGATTGTAATGTGTGAACCACTCCATGGGTCTATTTACACCTTGGTTCAGGGTGTCAAGTTTGCATATGAATTCCAGCTCAGCAGTTTCTTGTTTCAATCTGTGTTTGATTTTTTTTTTTTTTTGCCTGAGAATTGCAACTTTGAAGTCCACAACTATAAAAGGCAGAGGTGGAGGGGGGCCATTGTTGGCATATATTGAATTAGTAGATGTGCACATGAAGTAGCCTTTGATGATAAAGCTGATGTGGTTAGGTCCTTTGTTTTTAATACTACAATTCCCACCTGGAGAAGTGAAGCAACAGATTGGTAAAGCCAGACGGATACCTAGAAGTAACCTCTCTCTCACACACCCCCGCGTTAAAACCTCTCCTACACATCATCAAGGATCTACAGCCTATTATAGATAACAATTCCTCACTTTCACAGACCTTGGGAGGCAGGCCAGTCCTCGCTTCTAGACAATCCCCCAACCTGACACACATACTCACCAACTTCTCACCCCACAACAGAAAAACTAATCTAGGCTACGTCTAGACTGCTGCTTTTTATTGGAAAAAGGTACGCTTTTTTTTGGAAGAGGCTTTTCTGAAATTTGGCCCGTGTAAACTGGGCCACATTTCAGAAAAACCTCCTCTTTTGGAAGAGCCCTTCTTCCTCGCAAAAAATGTCAGAAGAGTAGACAGTTCCCTGGAAAACTCTGTAGTCTAGACAGAGCCCTAGGAATCCATCCATCCAACAGATGCCATTGCCAACTTTGTCCACACATCTACCCTCGTGACACCATTGCAGGACCTAACCACATCAGCTTGCTGTTTTTACTGGAACAGACTAATATGGCTACTTCTCTGAAATATAAAATAAATGCATCATGAAAGCATTTGTTTCCTTCAAATTTCAGGCAATTTGTGTGATTTTTTTATCCTTGGAATCACAGTTATAATAATCACTAACTTCTACATATGAGACCCAAATATTTGCCAGTTTCTTAATCATTCAAGAATTTTAGGTGGAGATTTTTAAAAGTGTGAACAGGTTTGAGGAGTTTGTCTTAATTAAGATCTAAGGGTCTTGTGTTGCCAAATCCCTTGTGTACTTTTGAAAATGCCCCCTTTAACATTATTGAGAACAATAACATTCCTTTTCAGCTTTCAAGATTTCACCTGATCTGTTTTGATCAGGTGGTTTTGAAACACTTTCATGATAAAATATTAATTTCTGTTTCTTCTAGAAGCATTTTTCTCACAAAAGAGCATTAATGTAGATTCTCAATATAGCCCTCTTATTTCTATTTCAAAATTCTAACGAAAAAGAGATCATGAAGCATTCGAAGTTGTTTTTGGACCTCTCTACTTCCTCTGGTTAAATCAGAATTAAATATGTAATTTTAGAATACCCAAGACAAACAATATTACTCATTACAACAGTACAATGGCATTTACTACCAAAGTATATCCCATTTTTAAGTAACATTTAAAAAATATCATAAATATTTATATATTTTTGTTTAGTGATCCCCAACAAAACAAGACAACATGGCCCCCTTCTGATCTTCCTCAATATCTTTTCCCTCACTAGTTTTAAAATAATGCTTACAGGAACCCTTTTAAGATTACAGGCAGTCCCCGGGTTACGCGAGTCCGACTTATGTCGGATCCGTATTTATGAACGGGGCTTTTCTTGCCCCGGAGGACGCGGGCAGCGGGACCGCCCAGACGCGCCGCAGTCCCACCGCCCACGTCCTCCGGGGCGAGAAAAGCTGCTCCACATCTCCCTGGTCTGCTGGGGGGGGGGGCGCAACTAGTGCGCCCCCCACCCAGCAGACCAGGCTTTTCTCGTGGACGCCTTTAGTAGAGCAGCTGGGGCGCTGCCGGTTGGTCCCGCAGCGCCGCTCCTCGGCGCTACTGGACCACCCCAGCAGCACCCCAGCTGCTCTGCCCCAGGCGTCCCCAAGTCAGCCGCTGCTGAAACTGTCCAGCGGCTGACTACAGGAAGCCCGAGGCAGAGTTGCTCTGCCCCGGGCTTCCTGGAATCAGTCGCTGATCAGTTTCAGCAGCAGCTGAATCTGGACGCCTGGGACAGAGCAGCTGGGGCGCTGCCGGTTGGTCCCGCAGCGCCGCTCCTCGGCGCTACTGGACCACCCCAGCAGCACCCCAGCTGCTCTGCCCCAGGCGTCCCCAAGTCAGCCGCTGCTGAAACTGTCCAGCGGCTGACTACAGGAAGCCCGAGGCAGAGTTGCTCTGCCCCGGGCTTCCTGGAATCAGTCGCTGATCAGTTTCAGCAGCAGCTGAATCTGGACGCCTGGGACAGAGCAGCTGGGGCGCTGCCGGTTGGTCCCGCAGCGCCGCTCCTCGGCGCTACTGGACCACCCCAGCAGCACCCCAGCTGCTCTGCCCCAGGCGTCCCCAAGTCAGCCGCTGCTGAAACTGTCCAGCGGCTGACTACAGGAAGCCCGAGGCAGAGTTGCTCTGCCCCGGGCTTCCTGGAATCAGTCGCTGATCAGTTTCAGCAGCAGCTGAATCTGGACGCCAGTTCCGACTTACGTACAAATTCAACTTAAGAACAAACCTACAGTCCCTATCTTGTACGTAACCCGGGGACTGCCTGTATTTTCAGTTACATTAAACTAGCTAGAGTGCTCCATGTGAAGTCTTAGATCCTGATTCTGCTCTCATTTGCAATTGAGCAAGACAGCAATTGCACCAATTGAATTACTCAAGATATATTGTTATGAGATCAGAATCAGGCCCTGGGTTCTTAAATGATGTAATATTTTCCCTCTTATGTTTGCATTGCTACCTTTCCTGGAATGGAGTATTCCAATATAAAACTACAGCAGCATTGATCTCTCATAGACAAGTCCTATAGAATTTAATTAAAAATGAGAGCTTTGCTTTGGTTATCTTTTTTAATCCTCCTATAAACTGTAATAGAATTCCATAGTAGCAAATCTGATTTTCAATCAGCTAGTTTAAATAATAATCATCTCTAGAAAGGATGCAATCTATTAAACCATATACATTTCATAGTAATCTTTGTGCAGTCCTATTTGTTTACTCTTTAAGTGAATGCACTTCAGGCTGAGGGTGTAGTTCCAAGATCACACAAACATTCCTGCACTAGTGCTGATTGAGCTGGCATGCCAAAAGTAGAGTATAACCTTAGCAGCGCAAAAGGCAGAAAGTGCTAGCCACCCTGAATGCGTGCCTAACATCTTGGAGGGGTATGTACTTGGGGTAGTCAGCCCCCTCTTCAGCAGTGCCTGTGCTCTTCAGAAAGTTATCTCCTCAAGTTGTAAATGATGCCCTTGTACATACCCTAAGAATGAGTAGGACAGTGTTCTGCCAAGGTTTGCCTGATGCTGTACATCCTAACATCTTAAAATTTACTATTTTTAAAATGTTTATTTAATGTCTTCAACAGCCATCACCTGCGTAGCTGGCAGGACCATTACCACATCCACCGGTACCAGTACAGCCCCTAAGCCCACTACAGCTGGGCCCACCAGTATGGCTACCACCATGCAAGCCACAACCACTGGAGCTACCAAGCTCAGGACAGCTACCATCTCTACTGCCACCGCCACCACAATCAGACCTTCCAGAGCTGCCATTAGTACCACAGTAACCCCATCAAGGAGAAACCATGCTGAAGCACGAGTGCATAATCAGAAGCTCCCATAAGTGTCCTCCCTGATGCATGCAATTTAATTGTAAGGTTCTCTAATGAATATAAATGACTGTTCATTTCATTTTTGTCGCTTCATCTCTTTGAAATTCAAGCTGAGAAGAAAGTCTGAATCTGGAAAGGTTTTAACTCCACCTTTTCCATTACTAAAGCAATTAAAATCTTTCAGTGGTGACCTGTTGTAATTCCATCAAAAAGAGAAAAAGGGAACGCAGGGCACTGCTTGCATTGCATTTTTTTCACAGCATTTGCATTCTAACAACATTTTATAGAATAATGTTATTTCCAATCCCGAGTAACCCACTTGTACCACTGTGGCATGCTGTCCCTTTCCAAGGCATAGGATCATTAGCGTTCTGTGACTCTATCATTCCACAATATGCTCTAAGACCTCCCTGCACAGTCGTGTTCCTTGATGTCACCACTTTCTCCTTTACAACTTGGAGTCCAGTGGTACTTTAAAGACTAACAAATTTATTAGGGCATTAGTTTGTTAGTCTTTAAAGGGTCACTGGACTCCTTGTTGTTTTTGCTGAACAGACTAACACAGCTACAGCTCAGAATCCTGAAAGTCTGAATCTGGAAAGGTTTTAACTCCACCTTTTCCATTACTAAAGCAATTAAAATCTTTCAGTGGTGACCTGTTGTAATTCCATCAAAAAGAGAAAAAGGGAACGCAGGGCACTGCTTGCATTGCATTTTTTTCACAGCATTTGCATTCTAATAACATTTTATAGAATAATGTTATTTCCAATCCCGAGTAACCCACTTGTACCACTGTGGCATGCTGTCCCTTTCCAAGGCATAGGATCATTAGCGTTCTGTGACTCTATCATTCCACAATATGCTCTAAGACCTCCCTGCACAGTCGTGTTCCTTGATGTCACCACTTTCTCCTTTACAACTTGGAGTCCAGTGGTACTTTAAAGACTAATACATTTATTAGGGCATTAGTTTGTTAGTCTTTAAAGGGTCACTGGACTCCTTGTTGTTTTTACTGAACAGACTAACACAGCTACCGCTCAGAATCCTATAGAACTTATTTCTCCATCAAGCTCCCCTTGCCAAGTGATTGAGATCTTTCAAGCATCTCGTTACTTTCCCACCCTTGTCAGGGTTTCCTCAGCAGATTCTGTGAATGTCCTCCTTTTTTAACAATCCGTACCCATTCTTACTTTATACACTGCCTTTTGCCAGACAGAGCTGGCAAGGTGCTGATTAGTTTGATCAACAGCAGATCCTATGATTTGCTAAAACTAATCAGTGCTTTCACCAGGCATGGCATTAATCTTTTACTGACCCGCGTACTGTGGCCATCACCAAAACTGCCACAGCTATCACTATTTTGGCCATTACCATTTCTGCCAACTTAGTCATGGGTAGTCTCACGTACACTCCCTTTTCCTTGTACTAGAAATTAATGTAAAGTGTTGATGTATGTATCCTTTTTTTAAAAAAAATGGTGCTTTGTGCTCCTGGCACCAGATTGCGAGCTGCAGGGCAAGATAGCTTGGCCTAGCTCATAAAGGGAGCTCATACAGGGTCATCCCTAAGACACAGAGCCTGGGGCAATCCCTACCCCCCAAAGTATCCCAGGAGCAGGGCCCAGTGCAACCCCTGTGTCACTGGCCCCACGTCTACCCCACCCTTTTTCTGCCCCCTCCCCAAGCAATGCAGCCGGGGGGATTATAGGACTTGGAACAGGGTGGCAGCCTCCACTCCCTGCATATTCACAATGGCAGCAGGAGCGGCCCAGCAGTCTGTTCTGCTCTGCCATGGCACCTTCCCCGCCCACTGTGCCCCACTTCTCCATAGTGGCAGGAAGCTGCTACTTTCCACAATCGTGTTCTACTTCCCACAATCGTGGAAAATCAGAGTGCAATGTGCCTTGAGAGAGTGGTGCAGTGGGGTGCAATCGAGCAGGCTGCAGTGGGGGGGAGGGGAGGGAGGAGGGCTAACCTCTGCTGCCGCCTTGTGCCAGGCCCTGTAATCCTTCTGGCCCCTCCCATCCATAGGACAGTCGAGGGGGCCACCCAAAGCATGAAGCCTGAAGCAGCCTCCCCAATTCATTCTATGGTTCTGAGGATGTGTGCTCAGAGATGCCCTTTGTGTCCCATCATTTTTGGATCCAGTGCAGATTCTGGCTGGTTCCTCCACCATATTTCAGAGCATCCTGAAGTATTCAGCAAACTGCATGGCTGCCAGTGATTGCTGGAATATTAGGCATATAACATTTTCAAGTGGGTACTGCCCCACAATCCCTAGTGCTAGCCTTTAAGAGTTTCCAAGCATTTAAATAGTTCAATTTTTTTCCAGGCCTGTAGTTTGATATTCACTGGTTTAAAAAGTCAGAACCTTTGCAGAGTTATTTTTTGTCTAGTTTCCAGCAGCACATCGAATTCTTTAGTAATCTCAGACGTTTCATGTGTTTGTATTGGGAGAGGCCCTCCATTATCTTAGGGCATGTCTACACATCATGGCTAAAGCCGAAAAAAGCTACATGACTTGAGCTACGTCAATTGCGTAGCTTAAATTGATATAGCTTATTTCGGCTTTTGGCACTGTCTACACAGCAAGAAGTCCGAGAGAGAGCCCTCTTCCTCCAACTTCTCTTACTCATAAAATGAGGGTTACAGGAGCCGGAGTGTAAAGTCCTCCAGCTCAACATTATTATGTCAAATGCAGTATAGGCACAGACTATGTTATTTCAGAATAAAATTCCCAAATAACACTGCTGTGTAGACGTGCTCTTACTATATACTTTAGAAACATTGTTAATCTGTCTGTCCATTCATCTGTGAGCCCATTTGCTCAAGAGCTCCACCTAAACGGTAAGAACTAGGACCACCAAATTCACCAGAGAGTGGTGCAGTGGGGTGCAATCGAGCAGGCTGCAGTGGGGGGGAGGGGAGGGAGGAGGGCTAATCGAATTCTTTAGTAATCTCAGACGTTTCATGTGTTTGTATTGGGAGAGGCCCTCCATTATCTTAGGGCATGTCTACACATCATGGCTAAAGCCGAAAAAAGCTACATGACTTGAGCTACGTCAATTGCGTAGCTTAAATTGATATAGCTTATTTCGGCTTTTGGCACTGTCTACACAGCAAGAAGTCCGAGAGAGAGCCCTCTTCCTCCAACTTCTCTTACTCATAAAATGAGGGTTACAGGAGCCGGAGTGTAAAGTCCTCCAGCTCAACATTATTATGTCAAATGCAGTATAGGCACAGACTATGTTATTTCAGAATAAAATTCCCAAATAACACTGCTGTGTAGACGTGCTCTTACTATATACTTTAGAAACATTGTTAATCTGTCTGTCCATTCATCTGTGAGCCCATTTGCTCAAGAGCTCCACCTAAACGGTAAGAACTAGGACCACCAAATTCACCATTCAGCCTCCTCTTATCATAATTTAAAGCAAGGTAAAGTTTGTTTGTGCCAACGATCTACTGGTAGATCTCAGGGGCTCTAAGAGTAGCTCTTGAGCCCTCTCTGAACTGTGCACCTGCGCAGTACATTTACATTAGATTTCCTCAGGTAATGTAGGCCACTGTCTACACAGCAAGAAGTCCGAGAGTCAGAGGCGCGGGACCCCTCCGCCTCCCCGGCTTTGCTCCAGGTGTCCCTGGTCTGGTGGAGATGGTCCCCAGCAGACCAGGGGCACCCGGAGCAGCTTTCCTCGCCCCGGAGGTCGAGGTGGTGGGACCGCTGCGCTCTGGGCGGTCCTGCTGCCTGCGAGCTCCGGGGCAAGAAAGCCCCATTCGTAAGTGCGGATCCGACATAAGTCGGATCCGCGTAACTCAGGGACTGCTTGTACTCAGTTTTTCCTCTCCTTGCAATCCATTTTAGTTTCTTTAAACTGACATTCTCTGCAAATGGAGGTCCTTGGAACAGGCATAACCAAATAAATGCAGCAGGTAAAATAAGTTGTAATGCAGGGAGAAAAGTCACAGAATGTAACATGAATCATCTTGTCACTTAAGGGATAATTGTTGTTCTATTAGTTGAAAAAATGAAAAGCATGGCCACCCACCTCCAGACAGCACAGATCAACTAGCACAGAACTCCTGATTCTCAGATTTCTTCCTCATGTAATTCAGTCAGAGAGCAAAATAGTTGGAGAGTATAATATTTGAGAATTTTTTCTCCTTCAATTAAAAATTTATCACTGATGGTAACGTATTTCAATTGCTAATTTTTATATTATATGTTATTTTATATCCATAGATATATTTAGGGGTGTCTGTCTATCTATGAGTTCATCTGTCCATCTGTGAGTCCATTTGTTCAAGAACTTCTCCTAAATGGTAACAGCTAGGACCACCAAATTTGGTATTCAGCCTCCTCTTATCATAATTTAAAGCAAGGTAAAGTTTGGTTGTGCCAGGGAAATGGGATGTGTATGGAATAAGATTGCTTCACATAAAACCATACAGAAACAGAATCACCAGGCAGCTGAAAGATGCTGGTTGGGGGAACCCTCTGCCCTCTGGGATTTCCCCGGCCACGAGCCTCCTATTCTCCTATGTGCCCTTTAAGGAGAGTGGAGGTGGCTGAACTTGTCCCATTACCCCTGATTTGTACTAGGACGTTGCTATCGATTCCTCTTTGTCAGGGAGCGAGGGGAAAGTACACAGTTTGCTACATTCCTCACTGGCTCGGGAGTGCAGGGGGTAGATGAACCTGAACCTGCCCCCACTGAGGGACATGCACCCCTCCCCTGGAGCAGCCCCTGCTAGGGGAGCAGCAGTGCCCATGGAGAGGCACTTCTCACCTGGCCTCATGCTCATGTGGTGAGAGAGGACTGAGGTAGTCCACCGTCCCTGGGGCAGCCAGCTTACTTAACCCCTCCTTCTCCATCCCCATCTCAGAGCCATATAAATGAAGGATTAAAAAAAAAGTAGTTGAGTTATGGACTCAAGCAATGCTGGGTAGGTCTTCTAGTAAACAACGAAGTGGGATAAACAATGGGCTTGTTGAACAAGATGCAAAACTCATTTAGCTATTGTACACTACCTTAACTCAAGCAATGCTGGGTAGGTCTTCTAGTAAACAAC